AAGAGCTGGCTTCACCTAAGGCAGTGCGGGGAGAAGAGGCAGCTGATCTAAGGAATTCGGGATCAGACAAACCAAGAAGCAAGGTTCAGATTGCATCTTTAAAAGAGCCAGAAAACACGATCACTTCAGTGGCAAGTAAAGACACTGAGTTAAAAGAACTAAGAAGTAATTATGCAAAACTTCAGGAGGAAACAGAAATGTTAAAGAAAGAGTTGAGAAAAATATCAGTTGAATTTGATCATGAAAGAGAAGAAACAGTCAGCTTAAACTCTTTGAGACAGCAGGACCAGTACCAGGAGCGATATCAGGGCAGCTTGTTGGAGGATATAAAGCAGCTCCAGAAAAAGCTGAAAGCATATGAGGCTGAAGCTATAGACTTTAAGACAGCACTTGAACATGTAAACAATGAGAAAGAAGCACTTATTAAAAAAAGTGAAGAGGATTACAAGATGAGCCAGGAGAAACTGCAGAGGCTGAGAATTGAAGCTAAGAAGGAGGTTGCAGAAAAGAATGAGGAAATGGAAGCGTTGCGTTGTTCACTTACAGATTTCAAAGATAAACTTTATCTGGAAAAGGAATTATTAAGCAAAGCTATAAAGGAGAGTGAAGAAGCAGCCCACCATTACAAAATAGCATTTGAAGAAATGAAGAGTGAAAAAGAGAAACTTGTCAGTTGTTTGGAAAAGTCCAATTTGGAACTAATTACTATGAAAAAGGAGGTGAAACATTTCAGTGAAGAAAACACAAAACTGCTGACAGAGCTATGTATGCTACACGAGAAGGCTGAGTTGAGTAGACATGTGAGGTCATGCAAAGAGCTTAAGGAAGAAAATGATACTGAAAAGGAATTGGGAGAGTTTTGTTCAGAAAGTAATTCCCTTCGAGGAAAGCTGCAAGGTGAAGGCACCTTTTTTCAACTATCAGAGACTGATTACTCTGGGAAAACTAAACTGAGAGAAGCAACAGAATGTCAAATCCAGAAACAAATGCAAATGATTGAAGAGCCGCCGCCAAAACCCGCCAACATAAATGATTCTAAACCACAAGAGCAAAGAACTATAGCAGAAGAGAAGTCCAGAGAGCGCCTTCAAAGAAAATTGCAGGCAGCTTTAATATCACGTAAAGAAGCCCTGAGAGAAAATAAATGCCTAAAAGACCAGATTGATAAGCTGATGTTAGAAAGAGAAAAACTGGTGAACAAGACGGGTATACTTGAACACTTGTTAGAGCTTGGTACAGAAAAACAAAGTTCAAGTACTGTCTATCCATCATCTGAAGAGGAGAGCCTTGTTTCTGAGAATGCTAGACTGTTGACTGAAAATGAAAACCTCACCGCAGCATGTGAAAGCCTTAAGTCCACCATGGAGACTATAGTTCAGGAAAAAGAGGCCTTTTCTTTCCAACTAAATACCTTAAAAGATTCTCAGACAGTTGAATTAACAGGATGGAAGGCTAAACATAGTGAATTAAAGCAGGAGTATGAATCACTTCTTCAGGCTTATGAGAATATCAGTAGTAAAATAGCAGACATGAGGCAAGTTATTGATCTTACTAGAAAAGAGAAGCAAGAGGCTATTCAGAAACTCAGGGAAGGAGAATCTGAGAAGGAGGCTCTTGAGAAGTGCTTACAAAAACTCAGTGATGAAAATGAGGTTATTAAGAATCAACTGAAACAACTCGGCGAATCCAAGAAAATGGAAGTTGACGAATTACAAAGGAAAGCAGAAAAGCAGATCTGTGAGCAAGAGGCAAGGATGCAAGAACACCAGGATCGCCTTCGTGAACTCACTGATCAGAATCATCGGCTAATGGAGGAAAATGAGCAGCTGAAACAAACTTCTGAAAATTTAAAGCAGGCTTTAGAGAAAATTCAGAATGAGAATGATATCCTTCATAATAACATCACCGTAACTAAAGCAGCTTTGGGAGAGCTCCAGGTTCAAATGGAAGTGTACCAAAATGATACGCAATCTAAAATCAATGATGCATTATGTGAGAATGAATCATTGTTAAAGGACATTAATGTGTTAAGAGATAAACTCTCTGAAAAAGAACACGATGTGCTTGTCCTAGAACAAGAAACAAAATTAATTTCAGAAAAAGCGAAAGAAACTGAAAAGTCTTTGGACCATAAAAATCATTGTCTAACAAAGCTGGACATGGAATGTAAAAGTCTTACACAAGAAATTGTTAGTCTAAATGAAAAAGTCAAGATTTTAGAGGATGACAAATGTCTGTTACAGGAAGAATTAGAAAATGTACAAGAAAGTTCTTACAAAGTAAAGAATGAGAGGGAATTTCTTGAGACAGAATTGCTCAATCATGTTAAAAAAGTTGATTATCTTACTGATAGAATGAAATCAGCGCAGGTACAGAATAACTTGCTGTTACAGCAACTGGAAGAATTAAAGGCAGAAAAATGTAACGTGGTTAGAGAAAAAGAAGAACAGCAGTTACACCTTGTAAAAATATTTGAGGAGAAGGTGAAAAGTGCTCAGAGGGATAATAATGGAAGTAAAAACAAAACAAAAGAATTGAAAGAACTCTTAAAGGAGAAACAGCAGGAGATCAACCATTTACAAAAGGATTCTATAAAGTTCCAGGAGCTGATCCTGGATTTGGAAAGATCTGTGAAACTGTCACAGTCAAAAAGTGAAAAATTTGAAAAGGAATTAAGTAATACATCAGAAAAGCTTGTGAAATCCCATGAAGAAATATATCATCTCAAGGGAAAGCTTTCTTCACAGATGGACTTGTTGGATCAGTCAAAGAATGAAGTGGACAGGCTTACAGATGAGAATCTAAATTGGAGAAAAGAACTTAAGAAGAAAGAGGATGAACTACAAATTCAAAAGAGAGAATATGAGAGAAAGTTGGAATTTAATCTTCAACAATTAAAATTGGTTCACGAAAGAGAGTTTTTGAACCTGGAGGAAAGATACGGTGCCCTTGAGAGAGAAAAAGAGAGGGCTATCAGTGAGGTTCATGGTTTGCAAGAGGAAGTTAGCATTAAGGACTCTCAAAACAAGAAACTTCAAGCAGATTTGAATGCAGCTTTGGCACGATTAGCTGCTTTTACAAAGTGTATGTCCTCTCTTCAGGATGACCGGGACAGGGTAATCACTGAAATGAAAACCTGGGAAATGCAGTTCAAAGAGGCCATCCAAAATAAAGAGAAACAGATAGAAGACAGTAATAAAAGAATAATGTCTTTACAAGATGAACTGAAAGACAAAACTACTCAGATTCAAGAACTGATTGTCAAATATTCTGTGGTAGAGGAAACAAAGGATGAACTGTATATGAGGCAAAAATCTGTTGATATACAACGGTATGAAGAGCTCTGCAGACTAAAGGAAGAAAATACAGTTTTTTTTAACAGGCAGCAAGAATTGGAGAGTGTTCTTCAGTCCAAAGAAGCAGCTTTGCAAGCACTCCTCAAAGAAAATAATTCTCTTAATCATCTCATAGAGAATAGTAAAAGTGCAGGAAGAGAGATAAAAGCTCTGGAAAGTAATTTTACAAGACAGGAACAAGAATTGCAACAGCTTCTAGATGAGAAGGAAAAACTTAATGCTGAATTGCAAAAGCAGATTACCATTTCTGAGCAAATGAAGACCATGCTAAATAATAAAGACAAAGAAATTTCCTTACTCATTTCTTCGAAAGGTGATGAAATTTCTGACTATCTGATTCAGGTACAGACTCAACATAGAAAACAAATCAAAGAGTATGAACTTCAGTTAAGGTCTTTGCAGATAGAGAGACAACAATCTGAGGAGTCCTGTCAGAGGATGGAAAATGAATTGAGAAATCTCCAGATGAAAGCAGACAAAGCAGGTCAAGATAAGGCTGCAATTGCCAGTGAAATAGATGCTTTTAAAAAATCAATGTCATCTCTTCAGAATGATCGGGATGATCTTTTTTCTAAATACAAAGAGCTGGAACATCTTCACCGAGATGTCTTAAATCAACGAGACAATCTTATAGTTGGCAATGCAAGTGAGAATAATGCTTTGAAACAAGAATTAAGGATACTTCTCGATCAGAGAGACGATCTTCATTCTGAAAATGCAATGCTAAGTGCACAGCTGATAAAGTATAGGGAAGATCTTAACCAAGTTTTATCTCTGAAAGACCATCAGCTGAAAGACTTACTTAAGCAGAAATTGGATTGTATTAAAAGCCTTGAACAGGAAAAATATGATCTTCAAAAACAAATAAAAGAAATGCAACTTTCCAATGAACTGCAAAAGGATACTGCTGTATCTTTGGAACATGAAAATAAAAAATTAGTGTCTAAAGTAAATGATTTAGAATCTTTAATTGCATCATTAAACAAAGAGAAACTTGTTTCTGAATCTGGAGAGAAACTGCTAACTAGCGATAGTGTTCAGAAAAAAGAGTGTGTATCAAATGGACAGTATGGAGAAAATCTTCAGAAGACGATTCAAGAACTCCAGAAATCAGGAGGCAGAAATACTAAGGATGCAGATGAGGAATACAGTAAGACTCTTTTGACACTTGAACATGGAGGTGAACCTGATGCTTTTACAGAGAAGATGATATTAGAAGTTCAGTCTCAAAATAATGAGCTGAAGTCCCAAAATGAGGCCTTTGGGAAAGCAATGACTGCTCTGCAAAATGATAGAGATAGGATAATAGAGGACTTAAAGGTACTTCAGAGCAAATACACATCTGAACTCAAGACTGAAAAAAAGAAAGGAGATGAACTTGAAGCTGAGTTGGATGGCTTTAAATTACATCTTACCAGTATGCTCAAAGAAAATTCTCTTCTGAATCAGGCTCTTTTTGGTGCTGCAGATAAGGTTACACTTGATCAGATTGCTGATGAAATTGAAAATCTCTGTAGGACGTTAGTCACTCGAGAGGTGGAGGTTAGCAGGCTCTCATCTGAGTGTGAGAATTACATTCACCAGATTGAAGCATTTTCCAAGGCTATGGCCAGTCTTCAGGATGACCGAGACAAATTGCTGCAGGAACTCAGCAATCAGAAGGTAACTTCTGAAACCAAACAGGGCACAGCTTCATTTACCATTGGTTGCAACAGCATGAGATAAATTCTTTTAAAAGTAATTTGGAT